CTACACTTTTTGATTGCTCTGTTCTCGTATGAATAGGACTCTTTGCTATAAGCATTAAGACAACTTTTGTATTTCTTACTGTGGATGTTGGGATTTAGAGAGAAGTACGTGAAGTTGAAAAGACCTAACTAATCTTTAATACTCCGATATATTCAGGTTATCATTGCAGCAGTGCTCCTCAGTGAAAGATGTAGTCAGGGATAAAAGATGCACTGGACAGAGTTATGGCTGGAGTGAACTTGAACTGATTCAGGAAATTTGTATTCGTTTTACAGGAATTAAAAATACTTTGAGGACTGTGTTTTAACTGTTGATAATGATGTCAGGATTTGGGCTTTAGGTTAGAAGAAATCTGGGCTTAGAAAGAACAAATGGAAGATTGGGAAGCAATGCAACAGTACTTAGCCTAAGTCTAGTCTCCAGAGTTCTGAGTTTTGGTTAACAATTATTAAAGGAAAGGTGAGATTCCTAGAACCAAAGTATCCTGAACACTTAACAGTTCTTTACTGTTTCTGTAGTCTATCCTCAGAGATCTTCGGGATTGATTCTGCAAACTGACTTCCCAAATATGTGTTTCCTTGCTTGCTTTATTTTTTTTATATGTATCATTTCTTTTGAATAATTGTTGTCTACTTACAGAAGCAATAAATGCAAATTGTAGAGATAATATGCACAGAAGCTACAAAATAAATGAAAACTTAACATTTCCACCCCACAAAGATCACCACTACTAGTTCTGTGGTACATATTCTTCTTGGATCTTTCTGTACATATAAGTAGGTATATGCATACGTTCTTAAATATTTTGTTATCAGCATAAAATAAAATAATACATGTATATACTGTCCTTATCTTTGATCAGATAATTGTATACATAATTTTTTTTTAAAAAGATTATTTATTTGACAGAGAGAGAGTGAGCACAAGTAGGGGGAGCAGCAGGCAGAGGGAGAGGGAGAAGCAGCCTCCCTGCTGAAGGGCTCAATCAGAGGACCCTGGGATCATGACCTGAGCTGAAGGCAGATGCTTAATGACTGAGCCACCTGGGTGTCCCAGCTGCACATATACTGTTCTGTAGCATGCTTTCTTCAGTAAATGAATTCCACCTTTTGGCTTCAGAAATTACTTTATCTAATACCCAAACCATATTATAAATTTACAGTTGACCCTGAAATGCCCTCTGCAGCTACTTTGTCCAAACTGATACCCAATCCAGGGTCACACATCTAACTGTTGTATCTTTAAAATTTTTTTTTCTATCCAACTCAGTTCCCTTTTTATGATACCAACTTGTTGAGTGAACTAGGTTGAGATGTTTTCCAAGATGGCCCACCTTTGGATTTATCTCATTACCCTGAGGAGCCATTTGGTTTCTTGCTTTATCCCTTGCATTATAACCTGGAAGTTATATCTAATGGAATCAGGTTTGGCTTAAGCATTCCATAGGTGATATTGTATTGTGTACTTAATGTATCATATTGGAAGATGTATAAAATCTGATTGACCCATTAATGGGCCATTACTGACACTAAGATGGTTCTCTGGTATAAAGTCATGACAGCTTGATTCTTCTATTTATATAGTTGTTTTACCCTTTGTGACTGAAAAGTAATCAATATGGGGTTGTTTAAGCTCTGTGAATGTCCATTCTCTGTCACACGTTCACATAATGGTTTTAGCAACTACTTATAGGCTTTGTCTGAGTCAGTAATTTCATTAAGATTATGAAGTTATATTTTTCTAAAACCTATCATTATATCCATAGTTACTAGCTAACATTCCTGTAGAGTCTTTCCTCAATAACTGATATGTGGTTACTCTGAATTACAGTTTCTGTGAGAGGGCAGGGTAAATGCTTGTTTTATTTACCATTTTTCAGTGCCTCAAATGGTGCCAAAGAGGTTTTTCCACCTTTCTCTTTTTTGACTGTCAGTTTGTGTTTATGGCTTTTCATGGGTCAACGTATATGTGATCATAAAAGTCAAAGAATTTTATGTCACAATGTACAAAGGAAAGCATCAGTTCTCTTCCTTTCCCTTTCCTGCCTTGAGACCTGTTCACCAGAGGCATATATACTTCCAAAACTTTAAGTTCCTTATTTACCTTCTGTTTCCAAATAATATGCTGCAACTACTATATTGATTTTTTCTCGGTCTTTTGACTTCTTATTATGGAAATTAAAGATTAAATTCTTGTTCACCCACGCTCCTCTTTTTTTTTTTTTTTTTTTTAAGATTTATTTATTTATTTATTTGACAGAGATCACAAATAGGCAGAGAGGCAGGCAGAGAGAGAGGAAGGGAAGCAGGCTCCCCGCTGAGCAGAGAGCCTGATGCGGGGCTTGATCCCAGGACCCTGGGATCATGACCCAAGCCGAAGGCAGAGGTTTTAACCCACTGAGCCATCCAGGAGCCCCCACGCTTCTCTTTTACATATACATAAAATACTCACATTTTCTTCCCTCTTCACTACCTTCCCAAATAGGCCTGTCAGATTTTTATTAAATCCCCATTCAGCATTAACATTGTGACTGAATAAGTATTACTCGCCACTGATTACAAAACTGATTAGTGTTCTTTTTGTACAACTATTTTCCTCTAAGTTAATTTTTTTAAGTTCCTCTAAGTTAATTTGCTTAATTTTCTAATTAACTTATTGATTCAATCCCAGACCTTTAAATAATAACTGTAAACCTCTCAATAAAGTCAAAAACTTTATCTTTCAACTCGATCTTTTTCTTGGTAACATCCCTCCTAGAATCCCCTGTCCTCTTTCCTCTCCAGACTGTTCTCTATGCCTGTTGTACAGTTAACATCCTAGGAAATCCTTTTTTCTATTTAGTGGTTTGATCCACTCATTTTCTAGATCTCATGCCTTTCTCTTCTGTGATGTACTCCTTAATCTTTGTGAGTATATCTACCAGGAGATTTCTGAGGATGAATGGGGGCAAAATTGCTGAGATCTTCTACCTTCATACTTGATTGGAAGTTTGGTTAGAAATGAAATTCTAAGTTGGTAATCATTTTCCAAGTTTTTGGAGGTATTGCTCCAATTTTTATTATTGCTTCTGAAAAATCAGATGCTGTTCTTATTCCTGAGTCTTTGTGTGTCACTGATCTCCACCCTCCCCCACCGGAAACTTTATGATCTCATCTTATTTCGGGTGTTCTCAATTTCACAGTGAGATACCTTGGTGTGATTTGGGTATTCTGTGGGCTCCTTGGTCTAGAAACTTATCTTTCAGTTCTAGAAAATTTCTTGTTTTATTTCTTACCTAATTTCCTTCCCTTTGTATTCTCTGTTCTCTCTTTAAAGAAATCTATTGGATATTGTACCTCCTTGCTTAATCCTCCAATTTTCTTGTCTTATTTTTTTTTTTTTTAGAGATTTTATTTATTTATTTGACAGAAAGAGAGAGATCACAAGTAGGGAGGGAGGCAGGCAGAGGGGGATGGGGGAAGCAGGCTCCTGCTGAGCAGAGAGCCCGATGGGGGGCTAGATCCCAGGATCCTGAGATCATGACCTGAGCTGAAGGCAGAGGCTTAACCCACTGAGCCACTTAAGCGCCCCATTCTTGTCTTATTTTTTATTGTCCAGCTTTTTATTTTCTGGAAGATTTCCTCAACTTTAGCTTTAACCCATCTATTGAACTTATTGTTCCTGCTATCATGTTTTTCACTTGGCTATAAATTATATAAGCACTTTTTCCTGTCTCTGAATATTTCTTTCTTACAACATTCTGATTTTGTTTCAGAGGTACTATATCTTCTCTTACCTCTCAGACAGTAGTAATTATGGTTTTGGGAGTTGCTTTCTCTCTTTTTTGAGCATTGCCTTGACACTCTGTGGTCAGAGGCTTTGCTCGCTTCCTGGTGATCCTCGAGTGTCAGTGCGTCAGTTGTATTTATGAGGGAGGAACTGAGAAAGTGAAGGGAACCTTTGTGTGAATGGGCAAGAGTTACGGCTCTTACTAGAGCAGTAACTAGAGAGTTACTGCTTGATCTAGAAGCAGAGGATGAGCAGGAGCCCTGTTGTTTTGTTGGGGAACCTCCCTTAGTTGTCAGAATCTGTGAGTCCTTTAGTTTGGGTCCCCGTAGTTTCCTGGAAAGGAATCCTTCAGGGGTCTAAGTGTGGGCATCTACGTTTTAGAAGCCAGTTAGGAGCAGAGGGCTAGAGCTGTCACTGTTGAGTGTAATACTTTAACTAAATCCCCTCTTTTCAGCCATGCCTGGGGTTCTGGAGTCCAGAAACTCTAGTTCAGCATCTCCAAAGAGTAAGCCTTCCAGCTGCTATGGTGATAAATCATTACCTTGCTGTGCTGGCTGGGGAAAGGTTGTTGCAGATTTGACTGTTTCTATGCAGACTTAACTCAGCCTCTTTTTAGTCCCATTTCACATCATAGCTTTTAGAAGTACATAGGCCTCCAATTTTTGAGCCTTTCTAGTGTTCTGCAGTAATAACAATAAGAATAATAGATAATGCATTTTGTACTTTGCTTGTATTGACTTACTTAGGCCTGTGAAGTAAGTACTAGTGGTATTCCCATTAAATAGGCAAACGAGGCATGGAGAGGTGAAGCATCTGCCCAGGTAGCCCAGCAGGAAGGTGGTAGACCGAAGAGTTGAATCAGAGCAGTCTCTCCCGAATCCAACACTGCCTTTTAGTGCAACCAGCTTGCTTTGTATTGATGACACTGTTTCTATGAGCAGTTAGGTTTCTCTGCTTGCGAAATCAGTTATTTCTAGGCCCCTTTCTGCCTTCCAGAATTTTGATGATACCTGTCAACTTCATGTCCTCTCCCATTCTCTTTGTCTCTGTTTTTTATACTTAACTGTATTGCTTCACTGTCATTTTGGGAGCAGAGATAAATGTTTGTGTTCTGTCCATATTTTTAATTGAAATTTCTCAAAATTCTTATTACTTTTCTGTTTTATGCCTACTGTTGTTGACTTTCTTTTTTCTAACACCTCCATGACTTATGTATGCTCCATTCTTCCCAGGTTGCCGGACAGGTGAAGCAAAACTGACAAAAGGATTTAATCTAGCTGCCCGGTTCATCATTCATACAGTGGGACCTAAATACAAGAGCCGCTATCGCACAGCCGCGGAGAGTTCCCTGTACAGCTGCTACAGAAACGTGCTTCAGTTGGCCAAGTACGGCTAATTCACTTCCTGGAAGCAGCATACCATACATTGTTAAAGGCCCCGGTTTCAGAATGAAACCTAGCCATGGAAGTCAATTTTGAGGGGTTTAAATCATGTAAGAGGACTCAGAAGATAAAATTAATTATCTTCACACACTAATGGGATAAAAGGAGTGGATTTGGGTGACTAAAGAATTTAACCTATTCCCATTTTACTCAGTCTTTACTTTGAATATATTCCCCCAGATGGTACAGTTATAATATTGATAAAATTATTAAAAAGTGTAGCTGGCTTAACTGTTATACTAGATTTATTAACAGGGTAGGGAAAGAGAGGTTGAGCTGCATTGTTAAATTAATTACATACGTATGTATTATGACTGTTGGTGGTTTGTGTTTTCTGTTTGACTTCAGAGAGCAATCAATGTCTTCTGTGGGATTCTGTGTCATCAATTCTGCAAAACGAGGTTACCCTTTAGAGGATGCAACACACATAGCGCTTCGTAAGTAACACTGGAGATGCTGTGCGCACACTGACTGAGCACTTTGTAAGTAGGATAGGGATGCTGTGCATACATTGAGTCTTGTGGATTTTTTTTAATAGCTATTACATAGTGATAGCTAAAGGAGATCTCTTGATGAGTGGATCATGGCACCCTGGAGGGAACTTTGTATCAATAAGTTGCTGAGCTCAATTTACTTTCTCAGGTTGATGTTTTCTCCACCTTTTCTCTGAAAAGGCTTACAGACTTGCCTATTAAATTGGTAAATGAAACCAAGTCAAGAGCTTTGCCAAATGCATTGAGCGTTTGAATCAATATTCAGAATAATCATAGCAGGCTATAACAATGAAGTCAAAACAGATATCATAATATCTTTATATAGCACTTTGCAGTTGAAACAACAGCTGTCACAGGTGCTCTTTGAGTATAAATCCTTGCATTGAGGTAAAGTAAAGACTGGGCTCAATCATAATGAGACAGAATGTCATATGTGTTACAAAAACAGGATATTCAGCTCGAGAGAAAATGATCTCACTGTATTATTTGCAGGTTCAGACCACATCTAGATATTTGTATCTAGTTCTGGGTGTCCTATCTAATGAGACCCAAGCTGGAGAGCAAACAATTTGAAACGTTAGTGGTACTTGTCCTAAAGAGACCATGCATTGTTTTCGCATATATGGTTCTTATCTGGAGTATCTAAAGTAGTCTCACTGTAAATTTATTCTGTGCTGCATTTTTAGAGCAGTGGTTCTGAACCATTTTGGGAGCCATCGTAGATTACATTGAGCATCTGATGGAAGAAAGTGGAACCTTTTCCCAGAGGAATGTACATATAGAGGGAATTTGTGTGCAATTTCAGGAAGCTCATAGATTCTTTTAAGGATTGTAGAGAAGACCTTCAGTGGTAGAAGGCAGGTCTGAGACTGTGTCACAAGGAAGGAGACTTGGTCCACTTGAGATGGGACTGTGTGATGGAAAGGTATTTTAAGTGAACTTCTTGTCACTGGGAATGTTCGTGCAGAAGCTAAATGACCATCTGTTGCAGATACTCCTCATTGAGGAGCAAAACTACCCCAGATGATCTTTAAGACCCTATTCTATCTCTAGAATTTAAAGAGGAGGAGCTGAAAGTTTTGTATCCACCAAAAAATTACAAACATATTCCAATATATAAAATTATTACTAGCCTGTAATTCTATAGCATAGAATTTAGGGTGAGGACATAAGTAATCTTATTTAATAATAAGCTACTTTTAAGACTTAAGATCTTACAGCTCAAGGATTTTTTTAAATTTTTTTTTATTTTTATTTTTTTATTTGACAGACCGAGATCACAAGTAGGCAGAGAGGCAGGCAGAGAGAGGAAGGAAAGAAAGCAGGCTCCCCGCTGAGCAGAGAGCCCCATGCGGGGCTTGATCCCGGGACCCTGGGATCATGACCTGAGCCGAAAGCAGAGGCTTTAATCCACTGCAGCTCAAGGATTTTGTAGTAAATTTATATATTTTGTAATTACGGTTTGTATATATTAGCCGGAGCTTCTTGAGGAGCAGAAATTTTTTCTTTTATGCATTTCCAGTGCTTCCATATGTCAAGAATGCTTTACATGTGATACTTGCTTAAGAAATATGTATTTTAAGAAGGCATAAAGAAGTTCCATTTTGTTGCCTCAACAGCCCTGTGTTTTAGGTGTCCATTTTATAATTAAAGAGGCTCAGAAATTTATCATGTTCTCAAGGTTATGGAGACTCCTGACTCCCCAAGTCTTGTAACTTGTCTGTTATGCTAGATAATTCAGTTGTGCTTGAGGTTAGAACTACTTCAGTAGGAAACCAGGTTATCACTACTCTGCATGTATTCTGAACGGTGCCTTACCAAACCAAAGTTTCTGCTTTTTTATAATTCTTTCTGACAAAGCTCTTGGCAGTCTTGATGTTCTCTGCTTCCTTAGTCCTTGCCCCATCATCCCATACATTGAGCTAATGTCTCTCTTTCTTATTAAAATAATCATATAAGTCAGAATTTAAAGAGGCAACGACATTTTATAGAAAAGGCTCTGAAAAGGGAGTCCAGAAGACTGGTTTTTGATACCAGTTCTACCAGTCTCACCAGCTCTGTGGCCCCAGCTAAATCACTTGATAAATCACTCAATTTACCCTAGAGGTGTCAACTTTGAGCAGTACTTATAGTAAGAGCAGGTGAAAATCAACAGTGACCATGAGGGACTTTGATGAAGCAATATCTAAGAATTGAATTAGCACAAATGAAATGGAAAACGTAAAGATGGACAAGTCAATTTATATTTTATAAGGCCTATTTGACTTATTGTACCTTAAATCTAATAGCAAAACTGCAGCATCTCATTAAAAAAATACACACATATAAACAGTTGTGGCCTTTGCTCACATACTTTCTGAGCATTTAGGAAATCAATTGCAGCGTATGTGGGCCAACAACAAATCTAATAAATGTAAGTCTAAGTACTTAGTACCTAACTCTTTCCTACTTATTAAACTATTACCAAAATTTATTTCATTTGAAACCTAAGTAATATCCTCAGGATAATCTATCAATACTGTCTTTTTTTTTTTTTCTTGGTTCATGTACAGTTCAGTTCTTCATTAGAAGCCTGAAGAAACCTCTTCATTGAAATAAATTTATCAGGTTATTTATTAATTCAGCAAAATTTTGAGTGATTGTGTGGGAGGCCTTCTACTATATAGATGAGAATACAGTGGTGAGAAAAAAGATGATGCTCTCATTCTTATTGTGGTTCCATGTCGGGAATTTTAATGTCCCAGGTGTCATTCTTCCCAGTTAAAGGGCTTTCACTAAAAGTTAGGTACATGACATCCTGGTTGGTTGCAAAGAATAGGGCACAGATGAAACTCTGAGAGAAACCATTTGAATTGGCAGTCGGTACTAAAATCTTATAGCTATGACATCACTCATTCTTTTCTCCTTTGTGCAGAATTACTTTTCTTAATGAATTCTGCTGAGGGAATTCAGTTTGGTTACTGTCTGGTATTGTATTTTGTCTTCCTAGTGGAAATCCTACTATTATATGCTGGGAAACCACTATATGTGAACATTAATTAAAACTTGGTGTCAGGGTGCCTAGATGGCTCAGTTGTTTAAGCATCTGACTTAATGGTCATGGGATTAGGTCCCACATCCTGCTCAGGGTCATGGGATTGGGCCCCACATCCTGCTCTGTACCCAGTGCAGAGTCTGCTTGTCCAACTCTTTCTCTGCTCCTCCCCCTACTCGCACATGCGTGCACCCTTTTATCTCTAAATAAAATTTTTTTTTTTTTAAGATTTTTTATTTATTTATTTGACAGAGATCACAAGTAGGCAGAGAGGCAGGCAGAGAGAGGGGGAAGCAGGCTCCTTGCTGAGCAGAGAGCCCGATGCGGGGCTAGATCCCAGGACCCTAAGATCAGGACCCTGAGCCGAAGGCAGAGGCTTAACCCACTGAGCCACCCAGGCACCCCATCTAAATAAAATCTTAAAAATCAAAACAACTTGGCGTCAAAATAAAAGAAAGTCCCTTTTTGAAAATACATTTTTAGAAAATTGTTAAAGCAGAATAGAGAGAGAAATGAAAAATAAATTTGTTACCTAACAGAGGGAGAATTCTAAATAGTTTAATCCTTCAACAAATGGGTCTTAGATTCTCAAGATACAGTAGTGAACAAGGTAGGCAATACGTAGATAACCAGACCCATAATATGTTACTTCAGCTACTTGTTATTTTTGAATGATTGTTTGCCATATCTTAAGATGTGCTAGGTTCTGGTAATATTAATGTAAGATATACTTGGCCTTCAGAAAGCTCGCAGTCTAACTATAATATGGAATGAAAAGTTCACAAATGGAGGGCCTTTCGGGTTATAGGAGGAACACGAGGAAGGTTGGAGTTCTGTACAAACCGGATGGCCTTGGACTGGGTCTTGAAAATGAGGAGGAGTTCACTAATAGGTCATGGTGAATGAATGGTATTCTAGTCAAAGGTAACCATGCAGGCAGAGGCAGGGTAGCATGAAAGTTAAGTGGAATGTTCTGAGTACAGCAAAGAAGCCAATTTGCTGAAAGTAAGGTCTGTAGGAGGAATGATGGGAAATAGGACTAAAGGGCAGGGTCAGAGGGCTGGCCAGTTGAAGTCTAAGTGTGGCAAACAATGCTGGGGACTTAGATCCTAACCTAGAAGTGGTGCAGAGCCTCAGAATTATTTAGTAAGGAAGGTGACAAGGGAAGGAAGATAACTCAGGCAACAGTGAATATATAGGCCTGGAAAAGAGAAACAAGAAAATAAGAGCTTATTGCTGAAGGCTTCTTGAGCATTAAGATCCTAAGTACAGCTGGAAGACGGAAGGAATGGATATTAGAAATAGCAGCAGAATTTAAAGGACATGATAACTCATTGAAAATGCAGAATGAAGGGAGAGGTGAAAAAAAGTGTTAAAAAAATCAGGATTTGAGCTTGGATGAGTGATTTGAAGTTGCTATGTTATAAAATATATAGGTAGAGGAGCAGATTTTCGGGGGAAAGACGGAGGTCAATTTCGGATCTCTGGAGTTCAAGGTTTCTGGGTTATCTAGGCAAATATGTGATTTTTTTGTTGTTTTTTTAAAGATTTTTTTTTTTTAATTTATTTGACAGAGATCACAAGTAGGCAGAGACAGAGGAAGGGAAGCAGGTTCTCTGCTGAGGAGAGAGCACGATGCGGTGCTCGATTCCAGGACCCTGAGATCATGACCTGAGCGGAACGCAGTGGCTTAACCCACTGAGCCACCCAGGCACCCCGAATTTAGCTGTTTTATTCAGAAAACAGAATATAAAGCTTTGAGAATGTCAGTATTTATATTGGTGCTAAGCCAGCAAAGTGGTGAGCTAAAGAGAATTTATTTATTTATTTATTATATATTCATAATATATATTTATCATATATTTGTAATATATATATTTCTTGATATATATATATCAAGAAAATAAATGTGGAGGACAACATTTTTAAAAGGTAAGGCATGGACACATAAAACTAAATCTAGAGAAATCTCTAGTGAGGTAAGGACTGAGGAAAGGCCATTAGATTTCATTAATAGGAAATGGATAGGGAAGAATCAGGATAACATAGAAATTAAGAAAATAAGAATTCGCCTTTGGTCAGTGGGATTTTGACAGGGTTGCAATGCTGAGTAGTTCCCTGAATACTATAACTAAATGAATGGTCATATAGAGAGGCCCCAAGGAATAAAAATACACTGGATAAGGAAGACTTGTCTGGAATCAGCATCTTCTATGGCCAGGCACTGTTCTAAAAGCTGGCAATAAAGCAGTAAATAAAATAAAGCTCTTGCTGGTGGGGTACTTTCATTCTAGCATATGGGGCAGGGAGGGCAGAGAAGATCTAAAATAAGCAAGAGACTCCACAAAATGTCTATAATATTTGCTCTGGAGGAAAGCAAATCAGAGGAGTTTTAGATACAGTACTCTGGGCAGGCTTCACTGATGTGTCATTGAGCAGAGAGCTGACTAAAATGAGGAGTGATCCATTATAAAAATAAAACTTTGAAGAGTTTGAGTTTTCTTCACACAGGTCATTTCTTATTTATTGAATAATTTTTTCTATTCCTTTCCTTAGGCACTGTAAGGAGATTCCTAGAAATTCATGGAGAGACCATTGAAAAAGTAGTATTTGCTGTCTCTGAACTAGAAGAGGTATTTTGCTAATTATGTTGCATTGTTTTAATCTCATTTTTATTTGTTTGCCTTTGCCTCATCATTATCTATTTACTGAATTGCCAGCAGGCAAATTCTAGGTATCTGTGTATGTATTTGGCAGTAGGCCTTACCATCCTTTGTTGAAAAGAACACGTATTAGAGACTAAAAACAAGTTAAAAAAGAGCATTTAGTCATGTTTTACTGCTAAACTGTTTTCATTTCGTGAAATCTTACAAGGTGTTATTTTGCTTTGCTGCCTGTATTAGCTCTTGAAATCTCTCAAGGCATCACCTTATAACCCAAGTACTGGGTGCCTGGGCAGTATAACTGGAAAATTGCTATGCTGAGAAAGCCTTGGGTCTACCTTACCTGGAATCATGACAGCCCAGCCTAGTGACTAGCATTGAATAAGTTGTGAGGTTTATGTTTTGTTTTGTTGTGTGTAGTTAGGTTTAGTATGTTTCGATTTAATTTAGAGCCATTTTAGAAACGAGTTCTTTTTCTTTTAACCCTTTTTAAATTTTATTTAGTTTTAGTGTGCTCTATCCAGTTCAGCTTGTATTATTTTTGCTGTTTTGTGTCCTTGGGCAAGTTACTTAATCTCTCTGTGCTTTGATAAAATAGGAGTATTAGTAGTACTTATATCACAGGAATATGGTGATGAATGAGTTGACACGTGAAATATCCATTCATGGTATTAATAGCGACATACATGATTATAAATACTTTTGAAATTGCTGAAATGAGGCACATTTCTTGTTTGCTATCTCTTCTTGTTTCATCTGGTTTACCTATTCATTCAGTGATCTTTTGCTGAGTATCTGTAGCTTCCAAGTTTATTACACTAGATTCTGTTAATACACCAGTTGAACAAGTGAGGGTCATTGTCCTCAAGGAATCCATTGTCTGTTGTTGGGTACAGACCATTCAGTTAAGTTATGGCAATTATGATAAGTGCATTACTGAAGGTATGGAATGGATAGGAGCGCATAACTGCAGCCTGCACGAGGTTAAATGCTTCCCATGGGAGGTGATAAACTTGAAATCATTGTAAAAAATAAATAAGATATTCCAAGGGAGGGGCAAATGACCATAGGACAGGAGTAGGAGGACTTACGCATTCATTGGTTTAGTGACTTGAAGTTGGATGGGAGTCACATTTAACTTGACCATCTGACAATACCCTGACCTTTAACGTAAGAACTGCTTGAGGGTCCCAGATAGCATCTAGTTGAGCTTAGAAGAGGTAAGGTTTTTATTCTTGATGGAGGCTGTCTTCCCAGTGTCTGAAACAGCACCAAGCTCGTGTGCTTCGTTACTTCATTATTTTTCACAGAATGTCTTGCTTTTCTGACACAGGCTACTTACCAAAAGCTGCTACCTCTGTACTTCCCAAGGTCACTAAAGGAGGAATACCGATCATTGCCATACCTACCTGCAGATATTGGAAATGCAGAAGGGGAGCCTGTGGTACCTGAACGACAGATTAGAATATGTGAAAAACCTGGTGCCCCAGAAGGTGAGTTCTGCTTTTCTTAATTTCCCTCTTTTATCAGGGACTGATAAAACACCACCAGTAATTATGGAGAAAGTTCAGTGTACCTTTAGGGAGCTCTCTGTGGTGTGACATTAAGTTCAGGCCCCACTTAGATGTTTTTAGAGTCTTATTCTTGTTAAAATTTAGTCTTTTAAGTTAAAATACATAAATTTATACACCAACCCCCCCCACACACACAAAGTATCAAGTCTCTTAGGAGTAGAGATTCAGAGGTGGATATAACAACATTTGCACCCTCATGAAGTTCATAGTTGTATGCAGGACCCTATTGAGATAGCAATCAAGTACATAGTCAATAGTCAGCTAAGATTTTTAGCAGCTTTAACATTATCCTTCAAAAACCAGACCTAACATTAAATACTAAAACAGGAGTAGCATTACCAATTGTTTTGTTTCTTTAGATTATATTCTCATGTAGATTGAAGCAATGGTAGAACATGGTAGGATGGGAACCCTTCTGAATCTGTGCTATATGATAGTTTATATTGATCTTCATGGGTACATAGTTAAGGTCATAACTCCCTTGTGTGGAGACAATGCCTCCCAAGCTTCAGTGCTAGAACTTGATCTGAAAATTCAGCAGCTTAGGAATTACTATGATATTCCTACTGTGAACACTTTTAAATGAGCATCAAGTTAAAATCTATAGAAGGCTGCTCATCTGCTTTTAACACAGGTCTGATAAAACACCACCAATAAGGAAAAAGTCCAGTCTACCTTTAGGGAGCTCTCTGTGGGTGTGACATTAAGTTTAAGACCAATACACAGCCTTAAATCAAATGGAGGAAATTGTACCTGTGTACTTTAGGTTATGTCCAGAGTTATTTGGAAATTCTCATGATCATGACCACCACTGCAGAATATAGTTTTTCCTAAATGCATAAATGCATTTTGTATGACAAGGAGCAATAACTGCAAACCTGCTTTGAGATCATAATGCTTTGAAGCAGATTAGGCTAACTCATTAGCCAAAGGAGTTCCTTGTGTCCACCATGTTTAAAGAGGGCTTGATTGCCTCATAGATGTAAGCCCTAGTATTCCTAAATATTGTCAGAATATTCAGTCTGTTAAAATAGATGTAAAATCAGCTTTATTTGATTTGTTCATGGGTATTTTTTCATAAAAACAAACTCTTCTCAGCTGTTGGCCTGTCATAGTTGGAGGAGCAGTGAAGTAGCTGTGAGGAAGTCCCAGCTGGATGGCTCACCTGACTGGGTTTCAGTAGTGGCATTGCCTTGGGAAGCACCCCAGGGACCAAGGCATTTTTTTCCTTTCTTTAAAAAAACAAAAAACAAAACCAAACTTTATTTTAACAAAGCCAGTAAAGTGGGGAACACACTAAGAGACAGATGACCCATTCCCAAAGTACTGACTTCTAACCAAACATAAAATGATCATCTGAATAAATTAGAAAGTTGATCTATTAATTTGTAGTGAAAACTAGAACTCATATGAGCCAGATGATTATGTAGGCGTGACAGATATAGAAAACGAGGATGCTAAATTAGAGTGAAGATATATCTTAGTGAATGTGGATCGTACCCTACAGCCCTGGTCCAGTCCTCTGCCTTTGAGAATTACCTGACAAAAGGACTCCAGTTTTTGAATCAATTTATCATGTGCTCCCTCCTTTAGTAGGGATAAATGACCCCAAACATTTGTTCTTTATATTTCTCTTCTGTTAGATGCAGTGCTGTAACCCTTCTTTAAACCTACATGCAGTGTAACTAATTCTATCTTTTTGCATATCATTACATTCTGCTCTTTCCTTCCTAAGGTTATACCCAGGTCATCTTGATTTGATTTCATGTATTCCTAAAACTTCTGTCACACAAGGACAGGTGGTTTCTTGCATTACTTCAGTTGTTCAAATGCCTAAATCTGATTTCAGTTTGATTCTCAAAAAAATAGCCTCAACCCCAGTTTTTTTTTATTATGTCATAGTCATCCCTGTTGCAGCATTCACAATCTGTAGCATTTACTGTCAGGTTTTGTCATAAGCTCTCTGTTGATAGTATTTTTGTTATAGACAACCAAGAAGAGGAAGCTGAAGGCTTGGGAGTTGACCTCTCTTTCATCGGCTCTCATGCTTTTGCTCGAATGGAAGGAGATATTGACAAGCAAAGACGACTGATCCTTCAGGGACAGTTATCAGAGGCAGCCCTGCAGAAGCAGCATCAAAGAAAGTAAGGCAAACCCCTTTGAACTGATAGACATGGAAGGACAGGAGAAATAAGCAAGGAGCCTACATCTGCTAAATGTTCTACATATAATGTGTTCTCATCTATTCTTCATGACAATCCGCGAAGGAAGATATCAACCCCATTTTGTATATGCAGAAATTCAAAGTTAATTTTATCAGTTGTCACAGTTAATAAGGGGTGAAGCCAGTGTTCAGATGCACATCTGATTTCAGACCTCCTGATCTTCTTGCTGTAATTTTTGTGCCTCTGGGTGAAGTTAGGTTCTTTTTTTTTTTTTTTTTTTTTTTAAAGATTTTTTTTATTTATTTGACAGAGAGAGAGAGAGATCACAAGCAGGCAGAGAAGCAGGCAGAGAGAGGAGAAGCAGGCTCACTGCTGAGCAGAGAGCCCGATGCGGGGCTCGGTCCCAGGACCCCGAGATCATGACCTGAGCCAAAGGCAGAGGCTTAACCCACTGAGCCACCCAGGCGCCCCTGAAGTTAGGTTCTTAAAGTAGAACAGGAAAAGGGAAAGCAGAGTTGTGAAGTTTTTACTTTAATATATTTGTAATTAAAACATAATCTACAGTTTTGTTCAATTTAAAAGTCCTTTATTTCTCCCCGATTTATCCCAAGGACCTTATAAAACCATTCCATTTCTTTCAGGTTTTCTGTTTTTCTTTTTTAGTTTCAATTCAATTAATTAACATATAGTATAATATTAGCTTCAGAGATGGAGGTTAGTAATTCATCAGTTTTATATAACATCCAGTGCTCATTACATCCTGTGCCCCCTTAATGTCCATCAGGCTGTTACCCCATCCCATGACCTCCCTCCCCTCTAGCAACCCTCAGTTTATTTCCTATGATTAAGGGTCTCTTATGGTTTGTCTCCCTCTCTGATTTCGTCTTGTTATATTTTTCCGTCTCTTTCCCTATGCTCCTCTGTTTTTGTTTCTTAAATTCCACATTTGAGTGAAATCATGTGATAATTGTCTTTCTCTGATTGACTTATTTCACTTAGCATAATACGTTCTAGTTCCCTTCCATGTTGTTGCAAGCGGCAAGATTTTTTTTTAAGATTTTATTTATTTAGTTATTTATTTGACAGAGAGTACAAACGGGGAGCAGGAGAGGGAAAAGCAGACTCCTCACTGAGCAGGGAGCCCAATGTGGGGCTGGAGCCCGATGTGGGGCTCGATCCCAGGACCTGGGATCATGACCTGAGCTGAAGGCAGATGCTTAACTGACTGAGCCAGGTGCCCCAAGATTGATTGATTGATTGATTGATTGATTTTTTTTTTTGGCTAGCTGAGTAATATTCCATTGTGTATATATACCGCATCTTTATCCATTCATCTGTCGATGGACATCTGGGCTCCTTCCATAGTTTGGCTATTGTGGACATTGCTGCTATAAACATTGGGGTGCAGGTGCCTCTTTGGATCACTACATTCGTATCTCTGGGATAAATACCTAGTAGTGCAGTTGCTGGGTCATAGAGTAGCTCTATTTTTCAACTTTTTGAGGAACCTCCATGCTGTTTTCCAGAGTGGCTGCACCAGCTTGCATTCCCATAAACAGTGTAAGAGGGTTCCCCTTTCTCCTCATTCTCACCAACGTCTGTGCTTTCCTGGCTTGTTAATTTTAGCCATTCTGACTGGTGTGAGGTGGTATCTCATTGAGGTTTTGATTTGTATTTCCCTAATGCTGAATGAAGTTGACCATTTTTTCATGTGTCTGTTGGCCATTTGGATATGTTCTTTGGAGAAATGTCTGTTCATGTTTTCTGCCCATTTCTTGATTGGATTATTTGTTCTTTTGGTGTTGAGTTTGATAAGTTCTTTATAGCTCTTGGATATAGCCCTTTATCTGATAAGACATTTGCAAATATCTTCTCCCATTTTGTAGATTGTCTTTTATTGGTTGACTGTTTCCTCTGCTGTGCAAAGCCTTTGTTTTTGTTATTTTTTTTAACATTTTATTTATTTAATGTGAGAGAGAGAGAGACAGCGATAGTAAGATAGTAAGAGAGAGCACAAGCAGGGAGGAGAGGGAGAAACAGGCTCCTACTAAGCAAGGAGCCCAACGTGGGGCTCAATCCCAGAACCAGGATCATGACCTGAGCGCAGAAGCTTAACGACTGAGCCACCCATGCGCCCCTGCAGAACCTTTTTATCTTGATGAAATCCCAATAATTCATTTTTGCTTTTGTTTCCCTTGCCTTTGGAGATCTGTCTAGCAAGAAGTTGGTGCAGCAGGGTTCAGAGAGATTGTTGCCTGTGTTCTCCTCTAGGATTTTGATGGATTTCTGTCTCACATTTAGATCTTTCATCCATTTTGAGCGTATTTTTGTGTGTGGTATAAGAAAATGGTCCAGTTTCATTGTTCTGCATGTGGCTGTCCAATTTTCCCAACACCATTTTTTGAAGAGACTCTTTTTTCCATTGGATATTCTTTCCTGCTTTGTTGAAGATTAGTTGACCACAGAGTTGAGGGTCAATTTCTGGGCTCTCTATTCTGTTCCATTGATCTATGTGTCTGTTTTTGTGCCAGTACCATACTGTCTTGATGGTTACAGCTTTGAAATAGAGCTTGAAGTCTGTAATTGTGATGCTGCCAACTTTGGTTTCCTTTTTCAACATTCCTCTGGCTATTCAGGGTCTTTTTTGGTTACATACAAATTTTAGGATTATTTGTTCCAGCTCTGTTGAAAAGTGTTGACGGTATTTTGATAGGGATTCCATTGAATGTATAGATTGCTTTGCATAGCATAGACTTTTTTTTTTTTTTAAAGATTTTATTTATGGGACGCCTGGGTGGCTCAGTTGGTTAAGCGGCTGCCTTCAGCTCAGGTCATGATCCCAGCGTCCTGGGATCGAGTCCCACATTGGGCTCCTCGCTCAGCAGGGAGCCTGCTTCTTCCTCTGCCTCTACCTGCCACTCTGTCTGCCTGTGTTCACTCTCTCTGACAAAAAAAAAAAAGGATTTTATTTATTTATTTGACAGAGAGATCACAAGTAGGCAGAGGGGGGCCGGGGAAGCAGGCTCCCCACTGAGCAGAGAGTCCAATGCAGCGCATGATCCCAGGACCCTGAGATCATGACCTATGCCGAAGGCAGAGGCTTAACCCACTGAGCCACCCAGGTGCCCCTAGCATAGACATTTTAACAATATTTGTTCTTCAGTCCTTGAGCATGGAATGTTTTTCCATTTCTTTGTGTCTTCCTCAATTTCTTTCATAAGTGTTCTATAGTTTTCAGAGTATAGATCCTTTCCCTCTTTGGTTAGGTATATTCCTAGGTATCTTATGGTGCTTTCTAAAGCAATTCTGAATAAGTCCTTTTTAAAGCATAAAGGAAAGCAGGTTATGTACTTCTGGGTAAGCTTTTCCAAGGATTAACAGTCCTTGGAAAGCTAGCTGCTTTTCAGAAACTTTTAAAGGAAAGAAAAATGATAAACTCTAAACAGTTCATATCAGCGTTATCTTATGGGGTTCGTTGAGAGGTTAACATAGGGTTGTTGTGAGCACCTGGTACTTAGCAAACTCTTGAGGTTGGTCACTGCTATTCTCCTTGGAACTGAGTAAATCATTGTCTGTTTTACCTTTTAACTTTGGTACTTGCCATCCCTTTTGATTAGAACACCCTCATCCTTTAATTCCTGCCCATTCTCTAGGTTCCACCTTAAAAGTAATTTCTTCTGGAAATTTAACTCCCTGGAGATAAGCCAGGATAGACAGAAGAGAAATCTGGAACAGGTGCCTCCTCCTCTATTTCTTTTTCATACCCTATACTTAACCAAAGCATGGCATTAGCATTTATCACAGTATATTGCAGTGATGGATGGTTGTTTTAAGTCTCTATCTATAAACTGGGAGTGGACTAGATGGTCTCTGGAGTTCCTCACAGAATTAGATAGAATGCTGTGTCTCTGTGAGTTTCTGGTCTTCATGTTATTTTTATTTTATTTTTAGACATGACAGCAAATTTGCCACTAGGTGGCAGCAATGACTAGCTTTTGCAAAGGCAGTCACCGTCAAGTAATAGTTTTCGTGGTTTTTTAACTTGGCATGTGTAAGAATCATCTGGCAAACATTTTTCCTTAAATACAATGAGGGGGCTCTCCCTCACATGACTGGGACTTTGGCATCTGTATATATTTTGAAACTTTTTCACATTGTGATTCTTGTACTGTTAGGTCTGGGTACCTTTTTCTAGTCAAAGGCAGTAGTTCTCACACGATTAAGTCTTTGTTGTTGTTAAGGATGCCAGAGAGCTTTTGTTTACATGGTTTGTACCTACCAATATTTATCATATGAGAAATTGTTTATTAATTCATTTAAAAATAACCCATCGTGTTTTTTGAAAAATAACTATTTTAAAAAATGAGTGAGAAGATATGGCACTCACTGTCTTACCTTTTTGCCAGTGTTTAAATGTTTGGCTTAATAGAAGACAGCTGGATTCTCATATCAGCGTTCAAACTGTTGGAATAAGTTATCTTGGGTGAAGTATATAAAGAAAATCTAACCTCACTCAGATATATAATTTGAAAGGGGAGGAATATGTTAATAGCCTTTTCAAATAACTTATGATCTTCTTTGATATTATAACTCGATATGTGGTAGTTTCTTAAAGCTTAGTTATAATATGGAATCTCAAAGCATATCTGTGAATTTTTATGTTCTGTTATATTAAAATGTTTATTCTATCCTGCTCTTTGAATGGGTTTTGTAATAGGAATTTACAGCATGAATTATAACATGATGGATTGTCTTTTGGAAAATACTGATTCACTGAATTTTTCAGATCTCCTAGATACTGATACATTTCATTATATGATATCAAAAAATTACATTTGTTAATATTGCCACTGATCTCATCAGAAAAGTCTTTAAGTATTAGGAACTGTAAGCTTCTGGGGATGCATACAAATTTTCCAAAAATATATGTATATTTTAAAGCTCAAGTTTTATCACTGGCAAGAAATACCGTTGGTTGT